TTCATAAAATACATAATAAGTTTATTTAGCTAAGTTATAAAATTGGCAAAAAAAAAGATAATCTGTATAATTTTAAATAAACCATTTAAAATTGTTATTTAGTTCATGAATATTCACTAAGGAATATTCTTGTAATAAGATATTTATATACGTGCGAGTGTGGGTGGGGGAGAAATTAATATCTGCACTGTAAGAAATTCCAGCTCATATTACGGTATAAAGTATCGGTACTTTGGGCGCATCATCATTGAAGTCCATTTTACTGTAAAATCCATTTTCATCATAAAATATTATACATTAATTTTTACAGTAATATTTATTCACTTAGAGTGAATCAGTGATTTTACGGTAATCATTACTACAAAAATTACGGTATGTCAGATTTTTGTTCCGTGATATGTTCAGGTAAAAATGGATTTTACGATAAAAAGTAACACTATAAGTACCGTAATTTTTAGAGTGTAGCTCTAATTTTAGTATTTTGTGCAAATACACATATATATTAAGGTTTATTTCTTCAACTGTTATGCTTTAATATAAAATGTGGTTTTAAATTTTAAGAAAAATACCTCTAATTTTAATCGTTCGTAAAAAAATAGAAATATTTAATTTGAAATTGATATATAATTAGTAATAATATGAATATTTTTCAAGGATTCGGTGAATATTTTAATCGAATATAAGTCGGAGTCGGGATTTAAGTAAAGTCTGGAGTTCCAACTGCTGACTCCACAGCTCCGGTTTTATGAATGAATAGCCATAAACTAACTTAAGTCATTAAAGAAGAAAAATTCAACGAGACAAAGTGGAGCTTATATGCACAAAAATGCCTGGAGACAGTTAGACGAGACATAAAGGCATTAAGGCTCTTTAGTGGAACCATTTATTTAGATTTTGAAAGCACAATTGATATTTGAATCCTCGAAGCTCCCCTGAAGACACATTACGAGCATTTTAAAACTAATAAGGATATATTCTAATCAATCATTCCAGAAATAGAATGCAAGCATCTATTAGTAATTTCAGTTTTATGCTTTTAAACTGTTAAAAATATAAATTTAGATTAGTATTTTTTATACTACGTAGTTTACAAATTAATAGAATTATGTTAATTATAGGATTATAGGGTTGTGGAATTGATAATTGAAATGTTTGTCTCTTACTCCAAACTTTCCTGAAATTCCAACTACGACTAATTGTAAATTTTCACCGAACTCTAGGAAATATATTATATTATATTATATTATNCTAAATTTATGATTTATTATTATTACCTGGGCACCAAAATAGTTTTGCGTTATTATATTATATTATATTATATTATTAAGAAAATGCTAACTAAAGCAACAGCAAGCAAATATGAATAAAGCACAAATGAAAGTGCAGAAATAGACATACTATAGTTTAGGTTCTATAAACGAAACCCTTCTTCAGTGTCTAAGCTGTAAACACCATTGTAATAAGATAGAACATTTCGACATTGAGAAACGTACATGTTTAGAGAATCGAGTACGTCACGTCTATTTCTGTATTTCCATTTGTGCTTTATTCACGTTTTTTCTTCCTAAGTCAACATCACACAAAATATCCTTTTTGGAATCAAATGTTTGTTATTTGCTTCAATTTTTTTTTGTTCAGTACGATTGAATTTTAAGATATTTTATTTTAAATTAGATTTTATATTACAACATTACAATTGAAAAAATAAATTTTAGCAAATGTATTTATATCAAATTTTAAAATAGCACAAAGCCATTATAAGGTGAGAGCTAGAATTCAATACCCCACACTCACTTATATAAACATCATATGAGAAAAAGATATTTTAGTGAATATTGATTAACTACAAAGCTATTGCAAAGAATACATTAAATTTATTTTAATTATCTTTTAATTAACTTCAACTTAGATAATAAAATTTCGTTTTAGAATTAATAAAACTAAATCCAATTATTATTAATTTATTTATTATTGATTTTTCAATAGTTTAAATAGTTTTCTGTACTTTTTTTTCAATAGTTCAATCTATCAAAGGCTCGAAAATGTTCAGTTGTTGCAAATTTATTTTGTGCTATTCTATAACTTAAATTATTATTATAATATTCAGACGAATAATATTTTATTTACATAATTATAAATATTTGTGTAAATAATTAGCAAAAAATGCAAAACTTTTATTTCTTTCAGCCTATAAGTACCTAACTTTTTAACAAACCACCGGAGTCGTAGTTGAGTAAACTTTTATAACTCTAGCAAACTTTTTTTCGACTCCATAGCTCTGATTTATACCCCATCCTGAAAAACAGATGCGATATATTTTATTTTATTAAAAATCATAATTAAAATGATGAAAATTATTACTTTTCATGAGTAATCGATTCTTGCTCATGATGTTTTCATGTCAACATACTTTTGAACTTAGCAAAGTACTGTGCGTTAAGAATTTAAAAGATCACCATCGATATTAACGCTTTTTAAAATAAATATAAATTTTCTAAAGCGTGAATTTAAAATTGAACCTAAAACAATATCAAATTTCAAAGTTAAATCTAATGTTAAATAAAATTATTCAGTTTTCTAAAAATTAAGTAAAGTATTTATCAAAAATTTATGAACCTTATTTAAAAATAATCATAATGCAATTAAGAATCATTGGATAGTGCATGCACTTATATTTCATTCAAGCATTGATTTTAAGCAAAATTTTGATTTTGATATCCGCAATTTATTTTAAAATGCCGCAGAGTAAAAAGTTATAAGCTAATTTTAATGGAAAATGAGGGAAATATTTTTTAAAGAACTAATTTTTGCATTGTCATAATAAGGTAGAAAATATCAATTCATTATGCCATAATGATTGTAGTTTCCATGCAATTTTGTATATCTCTCCTGGAATTTGTACATTAGAGTAACTAGGCAATGGCCAGAACATATCGTAAACCTATAATTTTATTGACCTGAGGTTCGTAAGCATGTTTTTTAAGCAATGCCAATTTTCTAAAGGTTTGTAATTTGTTATATGGATTAATAAATATCACACACACATAAAGTGTGTTTCTCTTTCAAATCCCTTGATTAGTTACTCATCCTGATTGGTTCTGAAACCCCCTGATTAGTTATTTTATGTTAATTCGAAAAACATTAACATTTAAAAAAAATTCCTTTAAAAATTTGCAAGAAAAATTAAGCTTTTCTTAACACGTTGTTGTGTTTTAAAATCAATGACTTGGAAAAATTAAAGCACTATAATAAGTGCTTGACGCCCGGTGGCTGAGTGGCAGCTCTTCGCACCCTCGTGCTGCAGGTCCTTGGTTCGATTCTCGGGCCAGGCAAGGTTGACTCAGCCTTTCATACCTTCAGTAGGTCGATAAAATGAATACCAAGCATGCACGTGGACTGAACACTGGGGGCTCCGCATTTCGCTGACCATTCAACCGGAACATCTGCTCTTGCACCCCCAGAGCCCAAGGTCCGGAAAACTGAGATGGGTACAGTAGGCCTTGGCCCTCTATGGGCTGTCGCGCCTCTGAGTTCAGTTTATAGTAAGTCCTTAGGCTCAAAATCATTTTTCAGATATATCACAATCAATCCTACTTTTCTTATCCTTTTATACTATATATATATATATATATATATATATATATATTTCTTTTTTTTTTCAATTACTTCTAATAGAAAATCTTTCGTCACAAATTATTTTTTTGGTGCAAAAAAATAATTTGACGCAGTTATAGATACATTAGTATTTAGCATAGTGAAGAGCGTTAATAGTAGAGTAAATTATTGTGGTTGGTTGATTCTAATGCCACTTGCCACACGGGCAAGCCTGCTTGGTGAAACCGAGCAAATTTAAGGCAGAGTGTGCGATTTTTTTCTCAGTGGTGCCACCTATGGCCAAGAATTCGACTTCTGACACATCTTACGTCACACCTGTCTATAAGGCGGACCCATTCATACATCCATTCATTCATCCACAGATCGTAATTTTGACCTGAATCAGAGAACGATCGATCTCCAATCCAGTACCCCCAGAGGTTCTGATTTGTTATGGGAACATGGAGGACTTTGCTACTCGACAGAATTTTAACGTGCATCAGTCACCAACTACACGGGCAGTCTTCGATCGGCGGGGTTCGAACCCATGAACTCTCGGACATGGGCCCAGCGCCCTACCGCTATTGCTTAAGTATAAAAACGCTATTGTTCAAGGATAGACTGGATCACTAAAGTTTTTATAAAATGTAAATGCAAATTAAAATTGTGAATGTCAATGCGATGACAATATCAATGTGTAGACTTGTAAAATGTTAATTTCCTGTTCTTCCTATGCCTATTTTCTCCCCAAAATGACCTTACGTTGCCGTTTTTATCCCTGCTAACGGAAGTTCGAACTCTTTTGCATTCAAATTCTCATGGTCTAAGTAATTTTAAATTTTGTAAATTCGTCTGAAAATATGGCTCAGCAGTTTTCTCTCTTTCAGACTTTAAAGACTTCTACTTTAATTATGGTTATCATGCATATTATTATTATTATTACTTTTATTATTATGATTAACTTATCTGGAAGCTTTAAATAATAATTCTGTAAATTAAAAATAAAAGAAAAAAAAGTGAGACGAAAAAAAAGGTTTTTAAAAAATATTTATACAAATAATTGTGATAAAATAAAATATAATTAATTATTATATGTTACAAATATATATGTGTATATTATAATTATATTATATATAAATTATTGTTACAATATATAATGGAATATAAATAATTATTTTACAAAAATATGCCTACATGCTATATAATAAATAAACTCGTTAGTAAAAATGGCAGTTTAATACCAATTTATTGATACAGTGTAAACAACTATATAATACATACTACTATACAGAATCAACAACTTCCATATCTTATGAGTACTTATCAACAATAACATATTAAGGGCAGTCGTTATATAACACCCTGCATTATAAATTTTAATAAATATTGTTTTTTCTAATACTTACCTCCAACCGTTCCTTTATAATCTTTGCGAAAAATATCATTTACATATCTTTGGACGAATGATGTTTTTCCTACCGTGGCATCTCCAACAATGATAATTTTAAAAATCCTTTCTACTGTTGATGTTGTAACTGTAAACAAATAGAAAAATAATATAAATCATATTAGGTTTTATAAAAATGTATGTTAATTTAATTTTGGAACTCTAAGTTTTTATGTTGCTTATTAATTTTTATTAATTACGCTGATGATACCAAGGTGATAGAAAGCGAAATGGTTTGCATATAGGGAGTGTTCTCTAATAACCCCCTTTAACAAATGTTTTTGAATACTAATAAAAAATGACGCAATAAGTATTAGAAATTAATATTTAACCCTTTGACTGCTATGGGTAAATATTTGCGTCTGGCGAAAACCATGAGTGCCGCTTAGAAGCGTATATGTACGGTTCGAGTTAGCCATCGGTGTATACTATGCGTGCAAATGAGAAGCCATTTTAAAACTTAACAATTAATGAATAAACATATTGATTATACAGTTATAGAGTGGATAAAGTAGTAATAGAATTTGGATTGTGTACTGTGTTAATAATGTCTAAATACGTCGCCGACTAAAGTAATAATGCGCGAAAAAATGTTTAGTCTCCAGAGCTCGCTTCAACTTGGAGCAGTCAGTAGTCAAAAGGTAGTCAAAATACACTATCGTATCACTATAGAGAGAGTTATATCGTGAAAGCACAATACCATAAATATTTGTTCATAATTAGAAAAAATTGATAAACTGGGGCAAAACAATATTATAGTTTTGTAAAAAATTGAAAACTAGCAGAATAATTTATAGTTTTTAATGTTTATTATTAAAAGAACACTTAATAGTGAGAAATGTATTTAAAATAATTATTTCGATCACAGCATGCGTCTAGATAAATGCAAAAAGCAAAGACGGCATATTTTAACTCAGAAATAAACCATGAAAACCAAGCTAACACTTCAGAGAAAATTGAAAAAGAAATTCAAACATGAAAAATGTGGTTGATGAATTTATTGTATCCTTTAAAAAAATTATGAAAATCATTGAAGAAAAAAAATTGTCTTTTCAGTGTAAAGTAAATCATTAACTTGAATTTTCTGCCCTTTTTCTCCAACGCCCCTAGGCGATTGCCGATGCTTGGCAATGGAAAATCCAGATTAGAACATCAAAACATGTTTGATTGCCCGAGAAAAACAAAAGATGATTTGAAAGACTGTGATTAAAAACTTTTTTATGTTTTATATGACAATCGAATTGATTTTGTTGTTTTTCATTTCGCCTTCCTCCCTCATGATTTTTTTTTTATTTATTTGGATTTCGATATATCGTTTTTAATGTATTCGTTGATATATTGAACGAGTCACCAAATGCTTTTTAGTATTTAATAACTAAATTGTATTAACTGAGTTTCCTTTGTGGTTCTTGCAATTTTTTGCAATTTTTGCCAAACATTGTAAGAACTACAAAGCAATCCACAAAGCAATTTTTTGCAATCTTGCAATTTTTTGCATTTTATAATGAACCAGTGAAATGAAAACAAGTAGGACAAATGTAAATTTTTTGAAAGGCAAATTGTAATTATTTGTCACCACCTGATTTATCAAGAATATAAAGGTTATTTTTTATTTTACTGCATAAACATTGCACAAATTTTCAATAAAAATAGTCTTTTGAACTCTACGTAATTCGGCAACAAACACAGATAAGAAATGACAAAGAATATTTATTGATCACAATAAGTCAAATACAGAAGGAAAACATATTTCAAATAAACTGTAAAATATTTAATTTAGAGTAACTATCTTTTGAATAAACACGATACAAGTACCTAACTGAAAACGAAAAAATTAACCGTATTTCTTAATTAGCATCACATGTTTGAATAAAAAATATTTTAATCAAGTCCTATAAACTCGAAATAGATTTCTTTTCTACATTGACCTTCTACTAAAGAGAAAAACAAATTTTAAAACAAATATTTCTACACTTAACACATACTTTTAAAACCAGTTAGTTTATTATATAACACATACGTGATTTTAATATACAAACATGGTAGATGTCATGATAATTCTTTTTTATTTAACTTTATTTTATTGTAAGACGAAAACAGGGTTTGATATAAAGAATTTTTTTTTTTATATGTAGGAAATTAAATTTCATAAGCAAATATTCTAAGAATTCAGGAATATTCTAAGAATTAAAACGGACAAATTGCTTTTAAGCTTTAAAATTTCAAAAAAGTCGTATCTTTTCATTTTCATTTATCGATAACTATTCCACCAACACATTTCAATAATTTAGATTGTGGAATTTATATTTGCACATTTTTTATTATGTTAAAATTTGTATGCATTATAACTCAAACAATTATCGATTCTTACTAAATTAATTAATTAAAATAATAATTATAAAATTTACTTTTTGCTTGAATCTTTAAAAAAAATGAATTTTATATTTCCGTGTAAACAGACTGATTTGTTTAAATAAATATTGCGAATTACAAAAAAAATAAAATTTGACATTAAGGGCTCGATTTTTTGACCGCTCTCCTATCTAAACAATTTGTACCATAATAAACTTTAATTGAATATTACCCCTATGATTTTTTTTTTAATTTTAACTAGTTCAACAAATGATAATAATCCTGTTTTTTTTCTTCTTTCTTTAGAAAAAAAAGTTGCGTTTTTGTGTGTAACTTTGTCGGCGCTAATTAATTTGCATATTTATGGTCCATCCGTTGAATTATCAAGATTGAAACTTGGTACAAGAAAATCCGATAATTTAGATCCAAAGTTATTAAAGGGTGAACCATATTTTTCACAGACTTTACTCATCAATGGCTTTTTGACAACTTAACGATGCAACTAAAAATTTTAGTAACATTACTTTCCTTTATTTTAATATTTCATAAGCAAAATATTTTTTATCATAAGAATATTAACTGCTTATATTATGTTTTCTGCTGCAGTTCTCATAATATTTCCATTTAAAAACCTATTTATTTGCGCTCTTCTGAAGTGAGATAGTCATAATAGGGTCAAATAATGAAATATTTCGAATACAGATAGAAAAATTAAACGAAATGAAAATTTTTTTTTGTCCTATCAGTCAATCGTTCCTGTAGACGTTACCATAGTCATAAAGTAAGTCATTTTAAAGTCTTTAAAAATACATCTTTTTATTACTATTTATCTATTTTATTTATCATTATTTCTAAAATGTGTGAAAAAAATAAAAAAAAGAAGCAATTTTTTATTATTAAGAATGAGATAAATTTATTAAACTATGACTTAGTTATTAAATTTGTAAACTGAATAAAAATAAAAAAGCTCCTAAATTTATTTATTACAATGTTCAAAACATATCTTAATTTTTCTTTTCTTTTTTCTGTCTTCCTTTTTCCTTTTTAAAAACTGAATAAATAATAAAAATCATTAAATTGAATTTTCTTATTAAAATACATCGAAATAAATAAACTCTTAAAAGGTATTAGAATTAGTAATAAGTACTGAAATTTTAATTACCTTGTGCGGATTCGGTCAAAAATTGATAGCCTGGATGCTCCCATTTATGTATTGGTCCTGTATAGCCAGCAACAAAAACACCAGAACACTCTAGGTCAGCATTGTGACCATTTGGTATAGTATTTGAAGTATTAATTCTTGTAGGTGTTGTATTCCCTAAATAATATTCTTCATCAGATGAATCAGTTCTACTTAAAGAAGATTTAAAGCCATCATTGGAAAGCATCATTTTCGTGCATTTATTTAGACTTGAATTCTAAATGTCAATGTTGTTTCGAAGCTTTATTTCATAACTTTCCTGGTAAAAGTAATTTAATATAAGAATTTAACAGTGAAAATAAATTCATCTGCATGAAAATGTATTTATAAAGAACAGAGTAGAACTACAATATGGATTTGAAATCGTAAATAACTATTTGTGTTTTTTTTACTTTGAGTATTTTATGTCGGTCAACCTTTTATGTGATATCACTGTAAGATAAAGAAAGAAATCGACTATGTCTTTATTACTAAGAATATTCCTTTAATCTTCCAATCTATTATTTATTTTAGGATAACAAATACGCCGACAATCAATTACTTTAAAAACATATGAAATCAAAACTTTTAGTTCGGAATTTCTAATTAGTGATTATCCTTTTGCTTAACTTTTATAATTTATTTAACAATCATATTTAAAATTTTATTTATTATTATTCTCATTATAATTTAATGTGCTGAAAATAGTATCAAATTCAAAGTTTATCGCTTAGTCATTCTTAATCAAATTTAAAATTTAAGAATTTATTTTTGACTAGGAGTCAGATAAAAAGTTTTATTCAATAGATTACAGCAAAATCATTTTTCATTGTTAAGCTAAAATTTTTGTTGCAATCTTAAAATGGATAATTTCCAGATTGTATTTTTTTAATTCTTTCACTTGTTACAAAAATGCATTTATTTCACAGAAAGAAATAAACTTTGAATCAGTAAAAATATTTATTAATTTTCCAAATGAAAAAATAAATAAATTATTTTTTCTTATCATTTTATTTATTTATTTACTTATGATTAGGCAAAACATTACTATAATACTTTAATTTATTTACTATTATTATAATATTATATTATTATTATTATAATTATACTTATTATTGTTATTATATTATTATTATAATTATACTTATAATTATTATAATTATACTTATTATTATTATTATTATTATAATTTTACTTATTACTATTATATTATATCATTATTATTATATTATTATAATAATATTATTAGGATATTATTAAAATATTACTAACATTACTATAATTTTAAAATATTGCTTATTACTTTAAATCTATTAGTAGATAAATTCAGATATAAATTATTCCAATAATATTACCTCTGAATTAGAAGAAATTCTTTACTCACATTTTTAACCAGCCGTAACCTTTTTTTCCATATAAAAAGAGCCTTTTTCATTACATTTGACTATTTTTCCTCTCATTATAATTGTATTTTTTGTTTTAACATTGCCATTAAAATACAACAATCTAAAGTTGTAGAAATATATAATACGAGCAACAGCAAAGTCTGAGCCCCTTTCAAAAAGTATAAATTATCCAAAAGGTGCTTACAAAAATTTAAAATTTCCGCTTAAATCAACATACATTTATTTCTTTTCAAACTCTAACTAACTAACCAACGAATTTCTATGTCCGTTTCTTCGAAACTCAAATGACATAATCAAAATAAGAATTATTTTAAAGACCTGCTTTTTCTACTGAGGGCAGGTTTCTTACACCTAAACAATCACGAGGTTTTCCAAATCACGTGTTGTTTCGTAACGTCCAATATATTGAACCTAAGGAAAAAAGTGGTTTACTTCACCAAAAGTAGGTGCTATAAGTTGAAGTAAATAAGGTATAACATGGTTTTTCGTAAAATGACCTCGAAATACTAGATGGCATTGTCTTCTGTCCAAATGAATACATGGAACAGGCTCGAAGTATAGTATTTATTCCTTTTTAGAAGACGAGCCTTATATAACTTTCATAAATATGTTTCATTTACCATTCATTAAAATAGAGCATCTTTTTCATGACGTGCATCGCCCTGCAAAATTCATAAATGAGCATTTTCTCTCTCTTTTTTTTTCCGTTAATTTTTTCTTTGCTTGTCCGCACCTCAGGGTTTTAAATTATGTCCCTGTTAAAGTATAAATCACTGAGAATACTGTTAGAATTCACTTTCAAATGCAATTAAAGTTGAAAAGTTAAGCAGAAAGAAAAATGCACCAGATGTTCTCTTTTTTTATCTTCGCTTATCTTACTTATCCAAATTAATATCCGTACAAGTGATGAATTCTAATCGGCATTATATGATGCCACTCTAAAATTTGAAGTCAAAATAAATTAAATATTATTTTTAATCTATTTAGCAGAGGCGTGCTGAGATACATGGATAATCGAGGCAAGCTCCTCTATAAAACAACTTTGAAAAAAGGAGGGTTATAATGTAAACACTGAGGAGGGGTAAAAATATTTATTCAATTAAAAGAAAAATTTTTATTCATAAAAGTTTAAATACATGAATAAAACTAATTTTTATGTTTCATTCTATGGTGTAAAGTTTATCATTTCTAACAAAATGTTCTTAATTATTCTTAAAAGAGTAAAATATTTTATTATTTATGACCTAAAACGCCATTATTAAATTTGTTTGAAAAACCTATTTTATTCTTTAAAGATATCTTCCTAAGCCAAATATTTACCAAATAAAATTCTTTATTTTACAATAAAATTAATATCTGTAAACGATTTAAATTTATAGTGTCATCGATAAGATGTTCCTTGGACTGAATGCCTGGGTTCCTTACGCATCCTTGTAATTCATTATTGTAAAGGTAATTCACACCCAATAATCACGGGATACACAAATATTGCTTATGATTTTGCATATTAAAAACGGATTTCATTGAATTCTAAGCTCACTTTCAGAGAAATAAAAATTTCCTAAGGTGATACAATAGCTAATTTTTTTTTAAAAAACTGCAATTTTAAAAATGTCACTTTTTTCGTTTCTTATAATTGCTATTTTTTCAAATTTATATTAACTAGTTTCTTGTATTATTATTATTTTTTTAAAAATTTTTAGCGTAAATGCTGTTGTGTTTTGATGAGCCTGGTTTGCATAAGGAACAGTGGGTATGAGTCACCCTAAATAATTACAAATATCAAAATGCTCCCATAATTTTTCAGAATACTCGATATAAATTTAATTAAGTTTCCAACAAACTAAGAAAGTTAAAAAAAAAAAAAAAAAAAAAAAAAAAAAAAAAAAAAAAAAAANAAAAAAAAAAAATTAAAAAAAAAAAAAAAAAAAAAAAACGTAATCATTTTGCAAAGATTAAGAAAAGGAAAAGATTTTTACAATTTTTTTCATTTGTAAACTATTCTAAGTTTCATAACTATTGTAATTTCCTGTATTGTAAGCGAATCAAATTCTGGAAAATATTATTTCCGGATTGCAAATTAGCACCTGTTGTTGTTTCTAATGCCACTTGCCTATATCAGCAAGCCTGCTTAATGAGACTAAGCGAATTTAAGGGGGAGAGTACGTTTCTTGTTTTCCAGTGGCACCATATATGGCCAGGAATACGGCTTCAGCCACACACACGTCAGAGCCCGGTTATAGGGCGTATCCATTCATACATTCACTGTTCGTACTTATGACCTGAACCAAAGAGAGATTAATCTCCAAATCAGTACCCCAAGAGGTATAATTTGTTATGGGAATGGAGGACTTTGTGACCCGATAGATTTATGGTGCACCAGTCACCATTTACTACACGGGTAATCTTCGGCTGGTGGGGATCGAACTCACGATCCCTTGAACATGGGCTCAACGCCCACCAACCAGGGTTAAGATTTCAAACAAACCACCAGTGGAAGTAGAACTTCCCCGAGTGACGCCTTCCCCTGACGTCACACCGTCCACTGTTTTGAATTTCGGTATTCTGAACGCTAATATCAGTGGAGTAGACTCGTGGACTAGTCTACTTCATGAGTAGAGTAGGGGTGAAGCTTCTTCCGTGCTATCAGCCAATAAAAATGCTCGAAGCATTCTGATGCAATTCACGCGTCGGCAAGCTGTTGAAAAAGGCATTTTGGTTCAGTATCTATTTGCGATAAAATATTGTCTTTTGAGATTTATTTGAGATTAAATATTGTAAAACTTTACTTTTATTTTATTGCACTAATATTTGATATTTACATTTATTAAATAAATTTCATATACATATCCGAGATGATAATTTTTTTTTGTGATAATAATAAACATTGACGTGTTACATGAATTTTATTTACGAGTCTGATAATTAAAAATCTAATCTGTATATGTTATTATTAGTATATGTTATTCAGTTGAAATCAGATCTTCGAATCTTTGGTTTGTTTATTCTAATAGCGATTAAGAAACCAAATTTTGCTTTTCAGAATTGTATTACAAGAGTACTTGGTATTGGCATATCACATGCATGCTTTTTTTTTAGAAATAAACTTTTAAGTGCTTTTAATATTATGTGGATAGTAGAAATGAGCCAGAAAAAAATTAAAATATCAGAATTTTTAAATGTAAACAGCATTTTTGCTACATATCACTTTATGTTGCAAAACAGATGGTTTTCACTTAGTCTTTTGAAAATTTTGAATTTTCTTAATTATGATTTAATAGACGTGGGAAAAGGCTTTTTTTTATTTAAAGAGATAGTATTTATATCACTTTATTTGTTTTGATAATAAAAGAATGTATAATTTGCAGTTTAAATTCTATTTTCAAGTAAGCTTTTTATTTTATGCTTCATTATTCTTATTCGGGTGAAATTTGATAAATACCAAACAAATGATGAAGAGATAAACATTACAGCTCATTATATCTTTGTTACATGGAATTTTTTGTTACATGGAAAATGTTTTGAACTATCTTTAACAAAATTTTTATAAAATTTTAGCTATAAGAAAAAATTCACTTTGAGGTCTTCGAAATATTTAGTTATTAATTTGTCAAGCTATTTATGTACTACATATTACAATTATCATGTTCAGCAATATTAGTTTTATGTTAAAAAAGATTTTTCAGAGATTTTAAGAATAGTGAATTATAGTATAGTTTCATAGTTACAAAATACTTTATTATTCACTTAAGTATTTGTTTATATCCCAGTTTCAGTTTTTATGGTAATATTAGAACCACTGTAGATTTGATTTAAACCTAAAATCTGACAAAAGTGCTTAAAACTTTTTCATTTTGTTGATTGCACGTAAGTGCCCGTTTTTTCGGATAGTTGCAAAAAATCGTAATGCATATAAAGCCTATGAATGTAATAAACAATTAGAATAGTAGCTCTATTTAGATATTCCACATTACAAGTTGAATAGTACTTAAAAGTATTTTAGTTTTAAAATTAATCTTTTCTACTGGAAATAATGCAAACAATATCTATAAGAAATACAAATTTAACTATTTGAAATAAAATAAAATTAAAATTCTTGAAAAGAATTTTTAAAAAAAGTTTCACATAAACATGTGACGTCGTGAAAACTCAATTTTTTAAATTTTTTTCCTCTTTGAAGTTTAAGTTCAAAAACACTTTGTAATCATATATTTTTCATATTGATTAAAAAAGGAAATATACTAAGTTAAATTTCTCTACCTTGTTTCAGAGATGAAAGAAATTACAGCAAACTTTTTATTACAGATAAAACTAATAAAAATTACAAGGTCTAAATTTTTTTTTTTAAGAATATGAAATAAAAAGCATAATTTAACTCATTAAATTCCTATCTGCAGTATCTTTCTAAGATCATAAAAAGTAATTAAAAAATGACACACTTGTTTTTTAGTGGAGTAAAAGATTTGCTAAGAAAATTGAGACGATTTCTGGTTACTAATCATCGATATTTATTATTTACAGTTTAACTTCAGATAATCTAATAAAGTAATAATAAAATAAAAAATTCTATGAAATTTTTAGGCGGAAAAAATTTACATTTGCAATTTTACCTATTAAGTTCATCAAATATACTATTACAACCCCAAAAATGCTGATTTATTCGCATGTAGCAAAGAAAAATTTAAATCAATTAGATTTTTCTTAAATATAAATATGCTCATGATATTGAAAATAAATTAAGTTTAACTTTTTTGTGTTTCTACTGAAATCACGTTTCCTCGCCTTGCTTCTTTTTCCAAGTCCTCACTTAGTTCCACGCATAAATACTGATCAAAATTTTTCGTTAATCAGAAAGAAAAAAAAAATCTAAGGATACATCGTCATAAAGACTGAAAGCATCTTCTCTGTTTCTATATATCGGTCTCCAACGAGGACTTAGTCGTGTAAAATAATTAATAATCAATGCATTCTGTGTGCTCGCCATTACTCTACTGAAAACACCAGTGGTTTTCACGTCGACCGAAAAAAGCGCTCAAGATCTACTAAAACTTGCTTGGAATGCCAAAAATCGAGCTATGGGCAGGAAAAGTAGAATATCAGGCAAAGTGCCCCCTGGTGCGGCTTCCAAAAGCTCAAATCGACTGTCGATTTCGAGCTAAGAATCCCAGAACAGACTATCCGCAAATTAACACATCGTGAGAATAATTCATATGTTCAGGGTGTTCCGTAAAGACCGCTTTACTATCTATTTTTCAAATCCTTACCGATAATGAAACAAAAAAGTGCACACATTGGGGGTCGCATATTAATATTTAAGTCAGGAGGGGAAAAAGTTATA